TGCCTTGACTTTGCGTAATCTATCATCTTTTGCCCTCTGTTTAGATCCACGTAGGATATCAAGGAGAAATTCAGGCTATTGTGGAGACGAATTAAGAGTTCTTGGTACGGCCGAACAGACCATGTTAGTTGCCCCCATTTCGGACATGACTTCCTGGCCAGCGAACACACCAATATCCGCTACTAGTTATTCTCGAGATGAGGGGGGTCATTGGACAGAATCCCAAGAGAAGTATTGACTGGACATAGAGTCAAGTCAACGCTGGTCGTTGACTTCCGCACTTCTTGACTGGCTTCAAGCCCTAACTAAAATAAGACTTACAGCGAAAGTTTACTTTGTGCTGGAGCCCGACCGATCGGATCCACTAAACTAGCTTGATTTTCCTCATAACAATTGAAACAATACTTTATTGGGCATAGGCAAAGGAACACGCCGGCGGATATAAATTAGTTTATTCAATCCCTGCTTTACGTAGGGTTCAGTTGTCCTGATCCAAGACAGCTTTTGAATAAAACTCAATGACCTGCAATGGGTTGTCAAATATTATTGACATACGAAAAAAAAAAAAAAAAAAAAAAAAAAAAAAAAAAAAAAAAAAAAAAAAAAAAAAAAAAAAAAAAAAAAAAAAGAGAGAGAGAGAGAGAGAGAGTACTCCGTACTTACTAGTATATTGCTCAAGGGTCAAGGTTTCGTGCAATTGGCTTTCTTAACGACAGCCTCATAGTTGGCAGGTTGGTCTTGTGACGGAAACTATGACAATTAAATACCTAAACACATATCCGAGTAGTACTTAGATCATTACTACATAACCCTACCTTGACTCATTATCGTGCCTATCTATGGTTGGTTGGTTTGTTCTTCTTATATATTGCGCTTTCTATGTATTTATTTATTTTCCCTACCCCACATACTGAGTTTTAATTCGCTTTCCGTAGACCTTCTATGTACATGGTTGGAGGTCAACATGGTATACATAGCCCCGAGTGGCTAACGCTCATCCATGGGAATTATTCTTATGACATGGTGTCTGACCTCAGCACTTTCGACAAGGTACAGGGTACCTGGAGAATTCCAACAGTAATAGCAAGAGAGGTGATTTGCGCGAGTTGTAGCCGGCAACCAGAGATTTTCATTCACCATTCAAGCGCCCCTTGCTTCCAATCGGTGTACCCCTCAGTTACTCGTTTCATCCGCGATACCCTCCTGAACGACCACCTCCTCGTATGAGAGAGGCCTCCTGCTGTGGACGGTCAATCCTTCCACTGTCATTCCATTGTATATCTCAGTATGACAGCCTAGCTTAACTGTTATACCTATAATATTAACACCCAGGACACATCCGCAGTGTGGTTGACCCATGATCTGCAGTGGTATGCATTAACCAGTCGATATTCGGGATCATCGCATTTAGACTCCCTCGTACCTTCTTGGTAGAGAATTTGAGTTATCGCTGATTATTGCAAATTAATGATACTATTAGCCCCTTCCATTGAGACAGTCTATTTGACAGCCTTGCATTCCTGGAAGGCCACCATAACCAAAGAGTTCTTCTCCAGTCTTCTTCTACTAGGGCAAGCTGTTTCCCAGTACTCATGCTAGATATCTGCGGATAATATTTCCATCCATCTTTTGATTCCTTTTACCATGTCAGAGCCATACTTGGAGGGAAAAATAGCCGGAGCAAAATGCTTGTATCCATGACACTCACATCCGTACTAGTTGGGTACTTGTTCGTCATGTAATAATGCTGGCCACTTTCCCTTGGTTCAGTCCCATTTCAATCCTTCTCTCGCTCTCTATCTTTCTATCTCTCTTTCTCTTTCTCTTTCTTTCTCTTTCTCTTTCTTTCTTTATTGTCTCGTATCGGAGTCGAAGAAATTTAAATTATCACGAATTTTGACTAGTTGATATGGGAAGGACTAAGAACGAAACGTAGGATCATGATGAGCTCACCAGGTTTTATCTCCGCGGGATGTCACAGCTATAAATCTAGACATTGGCGGCGTCGTAAGGAATATTTCCGTACGTCCATAATCGCGCACTCAATGAGGCACCGAAACCAACTACATGTCCCGTAACAAGCCCACAAGTATATATATCACTCCCATCGTATCACCATGAACCAAGCCAAGATACGCCAGTAAATCAAAACGCAGCTACACAGATATTAGAGGCGGTTTAGTATATAAATATTGATTGAGAACATCTACATCAGCGAATTATACATGCGTCTGGCGGCACAAGGTTTAAGGTGCACTACCCCATTCTGCTATACCATGTATGAGAACAAGCAGAGTGTTTCTACTTTACCAGAGGAAGACGTGATGTATAGCAGATGCAGAAGGTACGAGTGTTTGTAGCATTCCTTTACCATGTCACCTGCAAAACATATAATTTTGTTCTTGGCGACACATATACCCCACGTTTGAGAACTCAAAGGAGCTTTACTGGAATACTATCGCTGGGTTTGTATATCGATAGACGCAGGATTCAATTTTGATTTCCGGTGTACTGTCAGCTCAATCCTGTGGTTCATTGGACTAGCGTATACAGGCGAAAAATTCAACATAAAGATGAGAAAGAAAAAAAATTGTCGTACATCCTAAAAACTTTGTGATATAGACCGACCATTCGGTTGGGAAAAGCGAAGCCATAACTTATACCAGCATACCCTGTTCCCTCCTAAAGAAATAAACTGACGCGTGGTCTAGCCCTGTACTTAGTATGAGAAATTCAACACACGAGCAAACCAGCGCATCAATCATCCATGGGAGGAAGAGGGGGTAATGCGAACTATTGTGAAAGCCAGACTCGCCACGGCTCTCTTTTGTAGATCTGGAGCGGTGAGGGTATTCTTCCAGAGGAACTTATGTCGGTTCATGCTGGCTTGAAGTAAGGACCACATCATATGAACATATCTATCTCCCGAGACAACCATGGGTGTAGGGCCGACATCCCTGATCCCCGGAAGACCGGTCTCTGGGTTGGTTTGACAGGAATACTGGACATTGTCACTATGATGACCGAATGGGTGGCGAGAACCAAGCGTTTGACTACCGAGGCTGGCTTTGCTTAAGCTCTTCCTCGGTTCAGTGAAGTGGTTTAGGTTCACTCCTATTCTGTACGTGTGACTCGCCAGAATCACTGGGAAATATATATCTGTCATAATTCTTTTCCATATATCCGTCACCCAATGGAGTGATCATAACTTGGTCATGGAGCCATTTGGGGGGGGGGGGTTTAGATTGAATATTATGATAGGCTTGGACCAAAATGTTGCGTCGTAGCAAACAGACAGAACTAGACGACCTAATTTGAAACGGAGTACGGAGAACAGGAGATTTAGATTGATAGCCTCCTACATGCAACAAAGGACAAAGGTCAACTAGAGGGAAACCTTTGGCACCGATGACCCAAGTGACGTTTAACCAATCCGGAAGTCTCCGAAGGCTTGATCTAGATTAGTAGTTTTGATGGCGTTCTATAGATTATACTTGTTTGGGGTTGCCGTCTCTCCGGTATTTTCCATGTACTCCGCAGTAGCCAACATGATTTGTGAGAGGCAGTTGTATAGTTTTATATCCGCTGATTATCCCACTTACCACATGCCCCTCTCAGGGAACTTTACCTCGGCGTTCCCAAGAGCGGGAATAAAACAACATATTTTGCCTGTCATTTTATAGGTAATGAGACAATGATGTCACGGATGTCTTGGAATCAGGTCAAATCAGACATAATCATGACCACCTATTTTTATGCAAGTAAAACAGGGCAATTCAGTGGACGCACGGAGGGGTTGGATACCAAGGAGACCTGGTGGTGATAATATGCTTAGAAACTCACTTAGTGTACCTAGTGCACTTACTCCACAGTGAGATCATATGGAGGGTTGGGGTCGCCCTCAGGATGTTCTCACACTTTCAAATAAGTTAGAGATAAACACGTTGCGGCCTGAGACATGCATTTTTTGCTGTATGGAATGCATGGAAAACCATGCAATCACTCAGGGATGCCTGAGGGAGTCGCATGCCAATTGCGACGGAAGTGTAGCGGTGCAGCTCAGATTCTATCCTAGATATTGACTGTATGCACAAATCTTCGCTGCAATGCAGATGACAAGATGGAAAAGCATTACATATTGTATGTCCCTCCGACTACGATGAGCGACATTGTTTTCATTCCTGGAATCTGATGAAAAATATGGCAGTGCTAAATATGTACCGAGTCTCGATCATGCTATTCAGGGGTAAAATGAAATGAGCCAAAAAAAGAAAATGTGAACAAGGCCGAGTGGGGTCCGAGTCCAAAGATGGACATGCCTAACAAAATTTAGCATCAATCACCAGGGGAATTAACGAATAGGAATGCTAGACTCGGTTGAAAAAGGCTTAGGCCAGGGACCTCGGCCTTCTGATAGGCGAAAATCTCGGCGATGGGGAAATTACAACTGCCTTTAGCGCCGCCGCCGGCCAACAGCCAAGAGGCACCATAGAGGAAATGGACAAACAAACAACGGGCTGGTGGATCCCTTTGGCATTTAGTCTAAAACTAGCAATCTTTTGTCGTTGGCTAGCGACCAACTCACCCTTGCTGGGTGTTCGCTGGATGGTCTGGCCCTGTGGGCACCCTTGCGCCTCGTTCCTGTCGTACCGGCCGGTTGACCGTGCGTTCGTAGGCAGGCGCCTGTCTCTCTCTCTCTCTCTCCTCTCTCCGTCTGACCCTTTCTTTCTCTTTTTGTTTTTCTTCCCTTGGCTTCATTCCACTCATACCAGCCCTCAATCCATTCTTCCTCCTTCCTTCCTCGTCACGTTCTTTCTATCCAAAGCAGGTGTCGGCTTCACTCTTTCAGCTGTTCACCTCGCTGTCCATTCATTCTCCATTACCAGCCCGGTCCATTGTGTCCTGCAACCCCGTCTTTTCAGACCGCCCGACCGACCTGATACATTCCCTCTTTTTTTGTCTCGAACGCACCACGACTATCACAAGATAGTCACTCTGGTTATTGTTATATTCTTCTCCTTCCAGTGAAGACACTTTGCTGGAACGTCGAGTAAGTGTTATTCACCATGTCTTAGCCTAGTACAGCGCTGACAGTGGTATACAGCACGACCTGGATCTTTATTGAACTATACTTCTCCACCTGTCTTGTCGATACGAATAGCGTTATAGTATATACCTTTCGAAAGCCGAATCTGAGACCCGCATGCTACCGGAAAACTCGACTATCTAAAAATGATGCACCTGTTCAAAAGACTCGTCGCCCGTGACGATGAAAAAAGCAATGATGATAGACTTACTCCGGCCATGGTCGATCTTTTGATCGCTCTTCTAGTTCTCGTTCTAGTCGGCATTTGCCTTGTTGGTGCCCTTCTTGTTTTGCGCCGCAAGCGCCAAAATCGGAAACGATCCCAACTCCCGATCCATAACGGCCAGTGCACGACTCATCATCGCAGCCTCACAATTTCTGCGCCACCATATGCCAAGACCGAGTCCGTCCTCGTCTACGATGAGAAGAGGAGTCTCATGGAGAACTCGTCGAGCCCTCCACCTAGCCCAGTCCCGGAGATCCGCATTACGTTCCCTGAGGAGGAAGATGAATCTGGAAAGCGCAAATCTGGACGCATGGTGGTTGTAAGAATCAGCGATGCTGGCGGTGTGGGACTGGAGCCATGCCATGACGAATTGCCACCATATCAGTCCAGTGATGCGGAGCGTTTCCAATCCTTGGACATTGAGCGCATGGGCGGACTCAAGGAGAAAGAGGATGTAAAAAGATGGTCTTGAACGAACCGTTGATAACTAGAAACCAGCGGCCGTCTATTCTATCCGTGATACCCCTTCCAACCTCTTACCCTTCGACGATTTCAAAAAGGCATGACGACATCCCGGCGAAGATTTTTCTTTTTTTTCCGTTTCTATTATATCGCCAGTTGTGTTTCGTTGTATCTTTGTGACTTGCACATACGCGGAATGATATCTCCTGTCTGACCACTGCACTACTAATCATCGGCGATTTAGAGTTTCACTCTTGTCCTGTCGGGCAATATTCGCCCAGCGCACCCGAAGACAGAACTAAAGGCGTACCTTAGCTGAATTGTGTATAGCAAAGGGCTGTGGATTCAATTCGAAATTTCTTTTCTTTCTTACCCCCCCCTTTTTTCTCCCAATTTACATTCATTATTCTTAAGGCGTTCATTTCTCGTGCTTGGTCACTTTAATTCTTTCACCCTGCCATGTCACTAGGGTTGGAAAGACGTTACGCACCTGTTTGTTGCATTATCTTCAATTTCATTCTCCTTTGGGTGTTTTCTTTTCTTTTTTTCCCACTGACCTTGTTGCTATTTCAACGTTCTATTCATTTATCCTACCACCATCGTCCCTACCATTCTCGGGTTGCCTTTAGAGTGTCTTACAGCTGGATAATGTATGTAACTAGTCTGACAACGTATTGTACGGCCACCTCTGTGTGGGCCTCAAAGGATGCGTTCATTCATTTTCAAATCACGAGATGTCCGAGCGTGCTTTATAATATCCCAATGATTTGCCGCCAAGTGGCCTTCGGTCATGCTAAGAATGCGCACCAAATCGCTACTTATACACTATGGGAACTATAGAATTACCGCAACCAGTAAACAGTTGTCCCAATTCGGAAGTGCCCCACCAACCTTCAGGGTTCTGGATGTTCCGAACCGTGCCGACCAATGGGAGTGAGGGATTTCTCAAATTGGCGTCCCGAAAGCGCCGATTGCCCGACGTCACGGGGGAAAGATTTGGGATGGTGCGAAAGGGCTCGTTGCATCGTGCGCGTCCCTACCCCGAGTCTCATCTCTCGGGCTTTCGAGAAGACAACCTGGATTTTTTTCTTTTATTCGTACTCATGTTACATGTTTGCGATTGAGTCTTTGCGGTGATCATGCCTGCTCAGTGATTCAATTCACCACGAGGCCGTCCACAGCTTTGAAAATTTTGGACCGAAAAGAAAGACGACTAAGGGATAGCCACACCTTCCCCACTCCCTTTTCAATTTCAATGTGTCCAGTTTCTCTTTCTAAAATTCTTTGACACCCCTATCTTGCATCAGTACCTGCGTGAGCAAACGTTAAACCTACCGACTTGTTCACCCGCAGCGAGCGGTTGCGCTGCCGTGAAACGCAACTCACTTCCTGGTCGCTTTAGATGAATACGGCCTCGACAGACTCGGCAACTTCCTACCCGCGATGGCATCCGGAATAAGTCTGGGGTCGGGATCCAATAGACCCGACCTCAATGGCTTGCAGACCACCGCGCCGCCCTCACGGCTTTCGGGACGCAACGATACGCAGAAAACCCCGGTGCCGAAGGCACTGACAGGGAGGCAGTCCCGACCAGGGAAAGGGAGCAATGGGCAAGAGAGTGTCGATGATGGCTTGGAACGGGAATTCAAACTCAGGCACTTGGGTTCGCTGGGTGTACTTGGCTGGATATTGTGAGCTTGCCTTTCAATGGTTGCAAGCGTTCTTTCATTTTAGAGCCGAAAAATCTAATGCGAATTAATGAACTACAGGCTCCTCCATGTTGTCGGAATATTTTTCTTTACTAAGGGGTTTTTGCTGACACGGATGGTCTTGGAGAACAAGTCGTCTTGCGATGTGCTCCCGTTTGCCGATGCATCATCGCATTCGGCAGTCGGCAAGAAAAACGGAGGATGCTGGCACCAGAAGTCGTTCGAGAAGGCCATCGTTATTGTTGTAGATGCTTTGCGGTATGATTTCACCATCCCATTCGTGTCAACTGCGGAGGGTGAAACTTCCCATTTGTTCCACGATAATATACCCGTCTTGTACGAGACAGCCGTCAATACCCCAGAAAACGCTTTCTTATTGCCTTTCGTTGCGGATCCACCTACCACGACGCTGCAGCGTCTCAAGGGACTGACAACTGGGACCCTGCCGACTTTCGTAGATGCAGGCTCTAACTTCGCTGGAACGGCAATCGATGAGGATAACCTTGTCGCTCAGCTGCGCACCGCAGGGAAGAACCTGGTGCACCTCGGCGATGATACCTGGCACAGTCTATTTCCTGACTACTTCGATCCCGAACTGACACGGCCTTTCGATTCTTTCAACGTGTGGGATTTGCACACTGTCGACAACGGCGTAAATGATCATTTGTTCCCCCTCTTACACCCGGAGAACGCCACGAAATGGGATGTTATATTTGGCCACTATCTTGGGGTTGACCACGCCGGCCACCGTTATGGTCCCGATCACCCAGCCATGGGTGCGAAGTTGAGGCAAATGGACCAGGTAATCCGAGATCTCATCGCAAAGGTTGATGACAACACTCTGTTGGTTGTCATGGGTGACCATGGTATGGATTCGAAAGGTGATCATGGAGGTGAATCGAATGATGAGGTGGACGCTGCTCTATGGATGTATTCGAAGAGAAAGTTCTTTGGTCGCACCAGCCCTGATACTGCCGTGCCGCCGAAGACTGCGCGCGAGCGCTCTATTCCTCAGATCGACCTTGTGCCGACGCTGTCATTGCTTCTCGGGTTGCCGATCCCTTTTAACAACCTTGGATCACCAATTGAGGAGGCTTTCGCAGGACCTGCAGGACAGGATTGGAAGAATTTGGTTGCCGTCAATCGTTTGACATCTGCTCAAATGAAGAGGTATCAGCACGAGTACGCAATAACGCGGGGGGCTGATGATGGCCAAGAGTTCCGGTCGTTAGGCTTCTGGGAGACAGCGGAAGATGCCTGGCAAAGGTCCTCAAAGCGCGGCAAGCCGAACACCGAGGCTTTGCGGTCCGTCTACCGGTCATATAGGGAATACCAGCGCCACACTCTCGATATATGCCGTGCATTGTGGGCTAAATTTGACGTCCTCAGCATGATACAAGGTGTTGGAATACTCTTCGCAGGACTTGTACTGTTGGTGTTTTACGCTCGTGGTATTAGATCGGACCGCACAGAGCTCACAAAACCGCTCCTTTCTGTCGTTGGGTTAAGTTCGGGCTTGGGCGCTGTTGTCGGTGGTTGTTTGACATTCAGTGGTGTGGCAGATATGCCAATAGCAGAGTCGTCCGGTTTGTCGGCTGCCGTTGCGAGCATACTTGGAGCCTCATGGGTGGTTTTCGTGAAGCCTGGCCATTTGAGCTTGCCCATTCCCAACTCATTGTGGGGCTGGCTCGCTGTAATGTTCACTGTGACTCAGTCGGTCGGTTTTGCCTCCAACTCCTACACTATCTGGGAGGATGAGATTCTATTATTCTTCCTTTCCACTTTTGGTATTGTTTCTGGCGTATCTTCGATGCGCCAAACGTCGACGGCCGACAGGGTCTTGGGAGTCTATCATTCAATACTATTTGTCATCTTAGGAAGGATAGCATCGTTCTCTCGCCTCTGCCGTGAGGAGCAGATGCCGTTCTGTCGTTCCACCTATTATGCATCCGCAACATCCTCCACACCTGCCCCGTGGCAACTCGCCATTCCTTTTCTCGTGACACTCATTCTACCCGCAGTTGTAAAGTCATTCTACGCCGGGTCGAAGTCTTACGAAGGAGCTGCTACTCTGTGGGTTGGGTATGGTTTTCGGCTAGGGCTGTTTTTGACTTCTATCTTCTGGATGCTCGAAGGTGCGGATGATGGTGAATGGTTCTCTTTGAGCAAGGAAACATTGAAATCGATTCGAGTAATTCTCGCTCAGCTTGTTCTTGGCCTCGCCTTTGCTGTTGGTACAACAGCGTTTATATACTCGAAGCCATGTGTTAGCATCAGCGTCACACAAGGCAGTGCTGACTCCGAGAGTAAAAACAAGCCTACTTCCTCCCCATCGCAGCCGGGAAGGACAACCGTTACTATTCTGGGATTCGGCAACATCTACGGGACCCGATTTTTCCTTCTTGTCGTCAATTTTTGCTTGGCCATTGTTCTCATGCAGAAACCTATGGGCCAGGGTGCCATGGGTCTGCTGCTGTGGCAAATATTATCTTTGCTTGAAATCCTTGACACGAATGCACTAGTAATGGGTAATTCAGCCATTGGACCTATTGTTTTGGCGCTTCTCGGTTCCTTCTACTTCTTCAAGACAGGCCACCAAGCAGTTTTGAGCAGTATACAGTGGGAGACTGCCTTTATACCTCTATCCGCAGTCAAATACCCCTGGTCTCCCATCCTAGTGGTTTTGAACACGTTTGGTCCACAGATTCTCACAGCCCTTGCTGTTCCTCTCACCGTTCTCTGGAAACGGCCTTTGCAGCTTCATGACCAGTCAAGGTCTACCTCATCGAAGCCCAACAACCCTGCCATCAAGATCCTTTCAGACGTAATGCAGGCGGCCTGCACTTATATACTCTATTTCGCCACCATCAACCTCGCAACTACGATGTGGGCCGGCCATTTGCGCCGCCACCTCATGCTCTACCGCATTTTCAGCCCTCGCTTCATGATGGGCGCCACCGTCCTAGGCGTTGTGGATATTGTCCTCATCTTATTCTCCGTGGCTGGCGTCCGTTGGAGCATGCTGAGTGTGGGTGAAATCTTCGGATGGTAGGCTGTGCAAGAGACTTAAGCACCAATCTTGCATTGAGACAGGGTGCTCTGAGGAAGGAAGAGAGACAAAACAGAAACAAAAGAAAAAAAATAAAAAAAATCTCAGCTGAAAAACCTTCACCGACAACCTTGTCTCGCATATATCACACACTATATCATGTTGTCCTCGCAGAATCGGAGGTTGATACACGATCGACCTCGACGAGGCCCTTGTTCCTTGTATGTATTAATCATTCAGTTATGTATATTCTTTTGGCATGGACCGGGGATGATTATATAGGACTTTGGGTGGGTGGATTGCTGTTCTACTTCTGTATTTTTGAATCCTAATATATGAACGATGTACTGATATATCGACCGGAACAAAAAACTAATAAATTAACGTTCGAATTATTCTATATGTATGATTTATCGAGCACACCCTAGAACCAAGCAGTTGTACGGTTGTACTGTACTTGTATATATGGGCGGACTATGCGAGAAACCAATAGTAGAGGAAGGCAACAGCAGTACTCGCGACCAGCCAGTGATGGACTAAATGATGAAGGTGGTAATGTATATATATGTCATCAAATCCTTAACGGGGACTATCAGGAAAAAAACAACTCCGTAATTGTAGATTCGTCATTCCCAATTCTTCTACAGTACATGGCAGACATGGGTGATGAACACGCAAAACCTGAGTGCCAACAACAATCGAAACTCTATCAAGAACTTTTTTTTACCCGCTGCCAGCAGCTGCCAGTGATTGTTTTTGTTAAGGTCCATAACACTCTTTTTTCCTTCACGGTAGGTAGCCTTGGAGGAAGCGCAATAGACTCATACTGGACCTAGTACACAAGAAAATCACATCGATAGATGGTTGAGATTGAGCGGGGATGGTAACAAAACGAGATAACTTTTGTTTTTTTTATGCACAGAAAGACAAAAGGGTATTGACACAGGCTGAATAACTGGAAATGTACATTAATCCATCATGGTAAAGAAGTCATAAATGAGAACATAGGTAGAGTGTCATAGAGGTGTTCCTTCCCTCTTTTTTTTTTGTTTCCCCTACCCTTTACTTCCGTTCATCTTACACTGACGATTGCCAGATCAGGAACTCTATGTAGCACCTCAACCTCAAGTAGACAGTGAGAGTTCTTTCACCGTCCCCATCGGGAGAAATCCAAGTTTTGGAGGATGTTGGCATCCGCAGACGCATTCCAGTCGGTAGCAAAATCTGACTGTGCAGGGGCACTACGTGATGGCAGTTCTTCGGAGAATATGTTCGCCTTCGTGTTGCGGCGTTGGCCTGGATAAGCTCCCTCTGCGGTATCAGAGGTCTGAGTCTGAGAACCTAAAGCTCGTTCCCGAAGTCTTTTGATCTCCCGCAACCGATTTCGCCAAGAGGAAATATGCTCGCCTCCTTGACTGTTCCAGACTAGCGAAAATACTGAAGCGTTTAGGGCAAGAAAGCGTACGAAGGCTGCCAGATTCTTTCCCGAGATTATCTTGGGCGCAGCAGCAGGTGATATCTCTGGGAATCCAGGTTTGCTCATTACCTGGACGTGGTAAAAGAGCTTTTCGTAGCCCTCCGAGTCCATGTTTGCCGGCTCAAACCCACTCGCGATACGGCACGCAGGACTAATTACGATATTCACGAAATTGAACTGAGACGGAATTGTATCAAAGTTGAACGGAATGTTTGACCGATTGAAAATGATGTTGACAAAATCATTCCCTATGTGGCGTTTTTTGTTGATGCAGGCAGGGTCGTTGTCAAAAGTGGTAGGCATCATTGTCACTACGTGGTACACGATTTCCGTGACTCGGTCACGCCAGGCGTAGGTAGATTCCCCGTCAATATCGGGGTGCAACCCCTGTGTATTGAACTGAGCACCTCTGAGAGGAACCTTCGTTCCCAGTCCTGACAAAAAGTACTCATAGTCGGGACTACCACTAGTGTTGGAAAGTATATCCGCCTCGGACATCTGACCATCATCGATGTAGATGACGCCGATCTTGTGCCCATCCACGATATCATTTCGGTCGAAGGTGCTGAGTGCCCGACGGGTGATGTCATCCTCGGGCAGGGGAATTGGCTGCATCGCGGTAGGTGTAGGGAAGGCCGTAGTTGTTAGCTGAAGCATGACGTGACTAGGAAGGACAGCAGTGCGCATGCCGTCACCATGAAGATGAGCATCGGGTGTTGGAGGAACCTGATGTGGAAGGACCGGAGCAGTCCGTTGCTGGTACATGGCATACGTAGTTCCTGATGCCTGCCTCTTCGTGATTTGAGTTAGGCCGGACACGCCAGCTATTTCCACAGTGACTATGCTCATGCCCACCACCCATGACTTCTTTGATACAGGGCCATCCGCCGGGGCTGGGGGGAATGTTGCATATGGAATAGTCTCGCCCAAATCGGTAAAAGCAACCCTTTGCATCAAGTCAAGAAAAACTTGACTCTGTTCTTCGACCATTTCCTTTCCATGCTCATCCCTAAAGATAAGCCTGCTAGTGATCCAATTGACATGCTTGGCCCGGTCTTGTAACTTTAACGATAAGAACCAAAATACCATCACGTGGTGCGTTAAAGTATAAATATATCTTGACATTCCGTCCTGAAGGGATGGGTCCGACATCTCAGCAGGAAGAGCAGCAGTCTCCCGCACGCCACTTCCGAGTTTCGCTGACAACTGAGGGTTCCGGTTCGTTGATTCCGAAGCTTTGAAGCGCTGTTCTCTAGAAGTCTGTAGAAAGCGAATGCAGATGCCGAAGACAGTACGAATCTCCTCCTCTCGCAAATTAACATAAACGTCAGGTAATCGTGCGAGTAATGCAAGGAATTCCAGAATATGTACTGCAAGGTTGGCCAATGTGATCACTTTAGACATCTTGTCAAGGATTCCGTTCAATGATTTTGTCACGGAAAGTGGAATTTCATGACAGCAGACGGAAAGGGCGTGAATGCATCCACGAGAAGTACCTCCCCAGGATCCAATGATGCCCATCATAAATGAGCGCACAAGTTCGTCTTCTTCGCTTTTGGCGAAGAATTCATGATAGCCAATTAGTACGCACAAGGTGTCGAATATATATCCCGCTACATCGGTCTTTTTCACGCCAGTCGATGCCGGGGGTTCACGGAAGGAATCGTTCTTGACCTGATCACACAATATGCTACGCAATAGCTTGACTTGAGGAACTGCGTTATTAAAAAAATCTCTGTTGCGAAGCTGTGGTGCGAGATGAGTAAGAACATAGCTGTAAATCTCCCAATTGGTATCGCGATGCAACAGCGAGATGACAGTTTCTAACCACATGTTGGCTTTCAATGCAACCTTCTGCGCTGGATCCGATTCTAGATGATGGGATGTGTCGGATGTTGTATAAGCATATACAAACGGACTCGATTCATCGGGTGGTTGTTCAGGAAGTACCTGGGAGGAGGTGTGTGTCCAGACTGGTGGCGTCAACTTCGACGCACGTAGAGGGATACCTGTATTTCTCCCAGAAGACTTTGAGGAAATACTAGCATTGTCTTTCGCTGATTGTTTACCGGAAATAGATGTCCTTTGGTTATCATTATCTGCACTGTAGTCTCCCGTGTGCTCGTCGGCAGTAGTGTGTGGCTTGGGGCCGGAATCAGCATTTCGAGCAGAAACGTTCATCAAGAAGTCGTTCTCAGAGACAGACAGGACGGCGATAGAGCCTGAAGAGTCGCACCGGAGCCTAAATAACACCTTGAGCACTGTTAAGCGAGAGTCTACTGTTCTCTCCGACGCTTGAGCTATCTTCAGAAGCGCCTCGAAAACCAGAATTGCTTTGCTGGCCGATAAGTTCAAAGAACGGAGAAACACCCTGACCAAGCCAACAGAGCAAACGTTGGCTAGAGATGACTCCAACATGCTGCCAGGCGAGGGCGAATGCGGGGAGGCTAACGTTGGCGACTCCGCGCCATGTGCTCCGTCTTTGCTCAGATCCTTGTTCATTGGCGAACCTAGAGTGTCTACTAAAAAAACGAAGGAAGTTTCATCGTCAACAAGGATAGAAGTATCGACAACAAACGATACAAGTGACTCGAGGAACAAGATATCATCCTCATCAGAGAAGTTTTCTAGCATGGAATTGAGGAGTCCGTGCGCTCGAAATTGGGACAGGTTCTCGTAGTTCGTGAAAGCCTCCTTCACCGTATCCAAAGCTAGGATGCGGATTTCTGATGGTTTAGTGCGAGATCGAACGAAACAGCGGATCAACCTCTGGCAATGCCGTATCCAGTCAGGGTTCTCAGGGAAGCAAAGTCTTTCACCCCTCATTGTATTCAGGATAAGCTCAGCCTGGGGAGGCTCTACATGTTGACAGACATTCATCAGAAAACGCGTGGCTTCCAGCCTTTGCTGTCGATTCATGCGCTCCCAAACAGTCTCTAAAGCAGAGGCGATTTGAATAATGTTGGCTAAAATGCTGGACCTTGTATCATCCAACACACTGGCTCTTGGGTAAGATAGCTGTGAAGTGGAGCTTGACGCTGAACATTCTCCGGATTCGTCAACAGCTCTGAGCGAACATGAGACAATTATGTTGATAAAAACCGACCAATCTCGTTCTAGAGCCACGTGAGAAAACTCGCCCTCAAGAATATTCAGACACAGATCTAGAACGTCTGCTTCTAGCCTGCCATCGTCCTTCTTTAAGACAACTAGTAGAGAGTCCATCAATTGTTCAAACTGAAGCCGAGGCATACCATCTTGACCATACGCACGGATAAGATCAGTGAATACGTGCACGGTTCCACGTAGGATGTTCAGGTTCCGCCCTTGTTCTTCGGAAGATCCAAATAAAAAACCGTAGAGGCTATTCACCATTTCGTCTTGCCTCCTTGACCTTGCGAGATTACGCACGGTCCGTGACGTGGGGCCAGACAGCGACTTGACCGAGGCATAGATGTTGCATAGAACCTCTAGCATTGGAACGAAGCTCCCATCCGGGACATCTGAATAGAGAATTATAGCCTCAAACACAGCCAAAGAATTTTTGATGTCGGCTGCAACACTTGTCTTCTTGCAGATAATAAAGAGTTGATCAAGCAACGATCGGACCTCTTCGCTATTTGGGGGTTTCCTCTGTAGAGTGATTAAGTCAATAGCAAACTGCAGCAAGTCATCCAGGATTGCATCGTCATAAGCAAGTCCATTAGCTTTGGTGATTTTGGATTTTCTCGCTTTTAGTCGAGCGGTTGAAATCAGTTCATAGAGCGGGACCACACATGACGAGATGATTGGAATAATGGAAGAAGAAGCGAAATCTAACTTCCTTCCATGATCAGAAAGAGAAATTAACGAGATCACCCGTGCAGGCACTACGTCGGACTCCGAGGGACATGATATCAACTCAAAGACCGCTTTTCTAGCTGCTGGAGATAGGTCTTGGCGCGCTGCGATAGCTTCCATTAATAGTGAGCCACCTCTCCGGGCTTCCGGAGAGGTCGCATGATGAATCAAATACGAACCAGCCTCCCACAGAGCTAAAGATTGCTCAGAGGTAAACCAGTGAAGTGACTTTGACACCTGCTCTGCCTCTTCGATCGCATGAGCTAGGTTTTGTTTCTGCGCCAGGTTCCTTATAGACGTCTCGAAATCTGGCGCACCAGAAGCGTCTGAAGAGCTGGAAACAACACTGCCGCGATGCATTGATTCGAGCCCAAGAGCGATCCAGCTATTCCTATGTCCATCCGATGCCTGCGACAATGTATCACTGTTCTCTCTCCCTGGGATTGGCGAAAGCGATTTTGAACGGGCAACGCCTAATGATCTGAAAACGTCTGCGAAACTAGATGCTGTGTGTTTGTGATTGGAAGGTGATGAAGCATCGTCAGAAGACATACGTCCTAGCGGACGGGAGTTTGGATATAGGCCTAAGTCAACCGATTATATACCTGAAGATCCATGAATCAGCAAGAGCAAGAACCCGACCGCTCACGCTTTATAACATCCAGCTGACTATTTCCGACTGTGACATTACTTAAATATAGAAGGTGGTGGTTTACGTACCATTGACAGATCACATGAAGATGTTCACAACATCAGGAGACCTGGTAGGAACATGAAGCTTGACCCAGATAAGGCGGATAGCAGGAGGATGAAATGGTCCGTGAATTAATTGAATAAGCACAAATCTACACCAAGCCAGGTTTCATGAGTGAAGTAGGAACAGGCACAGCTTTTCAGAGTCAAGTCAAAAAAACATCCTTATAAAGACATGGAAGCGAACAGAACTAGTGATAGTAGGTTATCTCCAGAACGAAAGTTCGTGCCAAGACACCTTTCCCCTCCAAGCATCCATGATGATGATCTGGCGGAGGTTCGGATATGGTTAATCCGCGGAATCACCTGATGGGCAGAATCACCCCGCGGACATGTTTCTCACCGCCTGGAAACTGCAAAGCAACCCGCCAAACAAACTGCCCGTCCTGGAATCAAGCTCACGGCTTTTTTCCCTAGAGCATTCACAAAAAGGTGGTTTCTGAAGATTCTGCCCACATTACGATCTCTCTCTCTTTTGCACATTAAAATCAATTTTCCTCACTTTTATACGACCTCACTGGCTACATCTTCGGTACTACACATACATATCCCCGCTTCAATATGGCTGACAACCTTGGAGCTGTTGCGCAGCTTCTAGAAGCAAGCTTGGACCCAAGGCAAAATAAGCAAGGTAAACCCAGAATATTCGCATACAGTTAAATGTTCCATGAACGGCCAATGGCTGATCTTATTAGCCGAACTTGCTCTGCGCCAGGAAGAACAAAAGCCGGGCTATTCCTTGCAGCTCCTTCAAATCACGGCGTCCGGTTCCTATCCCTACAATACCCGTCTCGCTAGTGCACTTTGCTTCAAGAATTTTATCAAGCGAAATTACACAGATGAGGATGGAAACTATAAGCTCCAACTCGATGAGGTGACAACCATAAAACAGGAACTGATCAGCCTGATGATCTCGGTTCCTGCGGGCATACAGACCCAGTTGGGAGAAGCTGTGAGCGTGATCGCCGATAGTGACTTCTGGGAGCGATGGGATACTCTAGTGGATGTAAGCTCTCATTGCAAAAGAAAAGCAGGCATGTTTTCCTCCCTCTATTGACACTCGCAGGATCTCGTCTCAAGACTCCAACCGAAAAACCCTGCAGTCAACAACGGTGTCCTACAAGTTGCCCATTCTATCTTCAAGCGATGGAGGCCTTTGTTCCGATCCGATGATCTTTATACAGAGATCAATCATGTTTTGGGTAAATTCGGAAACCCTTTCTTGGCTCTCTTCGAGGTATGACTATTGAAATCGCACCTCTGTCCGTTTGAGCGGACCTATGCAAAATATTAATGGCGTTTACTAATACATATCCTTTTATACAGGGCCTCGACTCGTATCTTGAAGATAACAAGGCCAACAAGGACAACCTTGTACAGGGATTCACGCAGTTGAACTTGATGGTCAAACTTCTGTACGATCTTTCTTGCCACGACCTTCCTCCGATGTTCGAAGAGCAAATTTCAGGGATAGCTAGTCTTCTGCTCAAGTACCTCACGTACGACAACCAACTGCTTCATACCGATGATGACACGGAGGCTGGCCAATTAGAATTCGTGCGGGCTGGAATCTTTGAAGTCCTCACGCTCTGGGTACAAAAGTATATGGATGAGTTCAAGCCTCATGTCGAACAGTTTGTGGGTAGTTCTTGGAGCTTCTTGGCTACAATCGGCCAAGAAACAAAGTATGACATTTTGGTCAGCAGGGCACTCCAGTTCCTGACTTCAATTGCGGGTATGCCTGAACAGGCTGCCTTTTTCCAAGATGAGAACACTTTAAGCCAAGTTATTGAAAAGGTCATCCTTCCCAACGTGAGTCTGCGTGAGTCAGATGAGGAGTTATTTGAGGATGAGCCCATCGAGTTTATCAGACGAGACCTTGAAGGATCAGATAGCGAAACACGACGACGTGCTGCCACCGATTTTCTGAGGAAATTGGCCGAGAAATTCGAAACTTCTGTAACAAAGGTTGTTCTGCATTACACCGAAGGCCACCTTGCTCAATACACCAGCGATCCGGCCTCCAACTGGAAGGCTAAGGACACTGCAACTTACCTCTTCTCTGCCATTGCAGCAAAGGGCGTTGCTACCACTAGCCACGGAGTGACTGCGACCAATTCGTTGGTCAGCATCACAGACTACCTCCAGAAACATCTTGCTGCAGATCTAGTTGCTGGGGATGGTGTGAATCCCATTCTCAAAGTCGACGCTATCAAATACTTGTATACTTTCAGGAGCATCATCACTAAAGAGCAATGGCAAGAAGTGCTTCCTTTAGTGGTGAATCACCTGGGTTCTTCGAACTATGTTGTCTACAGTTATGCAGCAATTGCTGTTGAAAGAGCACTCTACCTTGCAGATAACCAGGGTCAGTCAATCATTGCACCCAACACAATCACGCCTTTGGCCAAGGATTTGTTAGAACACATTTTTGCGTTGATTCAGAAGGATCCAGCCCCCGAGAAAGTGCAGGAGAACGAGTTCTTGATGAGATGTGCTATGCGGGTACTCATTGTTATTAAGGAGGGCGTAGTACCTCATACAGACTCTGTTCTACAAAATTTGATCAACATCACAGAGGTCATTAGTAGGAACCCGAGCAACCCAAGATTCTACTACTTCCACTTTGAAGCTCTGGGTGCGTTTATCAGGTACGTTGGTTCCGAAAGCTCTTCTAGCACCATGCATCTACTGACAAGCATAGATTTGCTGCCCCGGCGAACCCCGATAAGCTTGAGCAAGCTTTATATGCCCCCTTCGCCGGAGTGCTCCAAGGTGATGTGCAAGGTAAGGATGGCTGTACCTTGGTGATCGCTCGGTTCTTGAGGACTGATATTTGTTTAGAATTCATGCCCTACATATTTCAGCTCTTTGCGGCGCTTCTCGAAGCCAATCCTTCGGGATCGCTGCCAAATTACTACCAGAATTTGGTTGCCCCTATCCTCATGCCTGTCATGTGGGAGTCGAAGGGCAATATCCCTGCGCTCGTGCGACTCCTTTCGTCCATCATTACCCGCGGTTCTCAATACATCTTGGAGAACCAGCAGCTTTCGAATGTCTTGGGTATCTTCCAAAAACTGCTTTCCACTAAGGCGAATGAAAGTTATGGCTTTGACTTGTTAGAATCCGTTGTCGCCAATTTCCCTCCGTAAGTTAGCCGTCATAATAAAGGGTTCGACTTCTTCAGGTTCATTAACACTATCACAGAAACTCGCTGGAGCAGTACTTTATCTCAATCATGCAAGTCATTCTTACTCGCCTTCAGAATTCGAAAACGGAAAATCTCACTGGCAGATTTGTCCGGTTCTACCACTTTATTTCTGCCCACGATGAGAAGGGCTACAGCGCCGATTTCTTCATTCAAGTCACAGATAAAGTGCAGCCTGAGTACGTGAACTCTGAGAAAGTCGTTTTTTGAATGTCTTCACCCTACTGACTTAATGAAGCCTGTTCACTCCGATCTATCTGAACATAATTCTCCCTGATACGCAGAAACTTGCTCGTCCGCTGGATCGCAAAACTGCAGTGCTGTCATTCACCAAGACGCTTGCCAATTCCGATGCGTTTGCGAACCGGTACAAGAAGGGATGGGGCTTTACATGTGAGGCCTTGCTTAAGCTCCTTGAGCTTCCTCCCCTCCCAGCGAGTAAGGACGACATCATCGCAGAACATGATGTTGAAGATATGGCATTCGGTGTAGGATTCACAGCTCTGAACACCGTGCGACCGCAGACCAAGGACCCATGGCCGGAGACTGGAGCTGACCTTAAGGCTTGGGTTGGCCAATACCTGAAGGAAGCTGACAAGAAGTACAACGGACGAATTTCTGGGTTTGCACAGGAGCGTCTGAGCAACGATGCCAAGACAGTCCTCGGCAGCTACATCGCTTGAGGAAGAGCAGCAAATCTCAAGCAGGTGTCTGAGAAATTATTGTTATCCTGGCCTAGGGTAGTCGGTACTGGCGGTATAACAAACCGGGACAACTAGTCTCGATATCTCGAAGCAAAAGAGTGAAATGAAAAAATGACAAAATGAAAAAGACCGAATATGCCTTTACGAACTGTTATTAGATGATACAAAAATGTCACTCGCCCTTCTACATGCGAGATTATTCTTTACAATACCGTCCTATTGACTGTGAACATCGATTTCCACATTGTAGACCCACGATGAGTAGAAAGATCTAACATATCAATGATATCTATAAGTCTGTAGACTATGATCATTTGTCCTGCGTCTGGTTCGCTGGGACTGTCTTTGACGACTCATCTCCGACCACCTCCCGATGGCCTTCACCATCATGGTCCTCCTGCTCTTGCACTTCTTCGTGGCCCTTCTCCAATTCGCGATACTTTCTCCGGCTCTTCTTCACCTTACTAGCCTTCTTCTTCCGAGCACGATCAACTTTGATCGCTGCGCGGCTCTGGTCTCCTTTCTCTAGCTGCTCCACTTTATCGGCGAGAAGTTGTCGTGCGATCTTCTCATTCTGGGAACGGGAGCGAGTGGCCTGTGACTTCACCACGAGACCGGTAGGTTTGTGAATGAGTTGAACGGCAGAGTTGGTTTTATTCTGTCGATCACGATTAGTCAACGCCAATTTGAATGAAACATTGAGTCAATGCGTACAATCTTCTGACCTCCAGGGCCAGTGCCCTTGAGATATGATATGGTCAGATCGGCATCGTGGATTTTCAGCCGGGGCGGTAATGGCTTATCGGTAAGGTAGAAGGTGGTTGTGAAGCATCTAAGCGGGGCGATTGGTTTGATATATGGGATGAGATTACGCGGGATAAGGGTTCGTAGTAGGAGCATGGTTCATGACGGCTACTGTTTTGGCATTCTGCGAGAGGTTATATTACCATGTTACAATACATACACTTCGAGGGTTCGGCTTCTAACTGCAGGGAATCTGCATAAGAACTAGTCCCATTACGATTTAGGGTGACATCAGCTGAGGCAGCTGAGGATACGAGTACGAGTACTGTTGACTGCCTCAGGCAGAAAGTCTTATACCACGGCGGGATATTATCGGACCGAATCTCGAAAGGGCGATGGATCACAGACAACAAAAAAAAAGAGGGATCTTTTCTCATAATATTGACCAACCATTCGTCCCTGCTTCTCCTACAATCGTCATAGCTGATGAACCCGCTGATGAATTAACCCGAATGATGTACAGGATCGTCAAGCTGGACCCTCAATCACTACCTCGAAAATGTGCCAAGTGTAGGGTGACGTACGCCTCTAGTGGGTTTCAAAGGGTTTGAATCTAACAATTGGAGAGGCAATTGAGAAAAAAGTTCCTTTTGTTTCTTGTTGACAGAATGGTCTGTGTGTTGATCATCAAGCAAGGTTCAGAGAGTTTCAGAAACAAAAGAAAGAGCAATTAATTTGTGACCTATTGGGAATATTCATTCACAATTTCTCCCTTTGGTTTCCAATTTAATATTTATTTATTTATAAATATATATATCTTTTTTAAAAAAAAAAAAAAAAAAAAGGCCATGTAGTGTAATGTACTTAAAAAGATGGTCTAAGAGTCTAGACAGAAATACTAAGTCGATTCAATGGGTGCTCTGGACCCTGAAGTGGAGCTCCAATTTCAGGTGCCACCAATGCACGGATTGTGGCTCAGTCGGTGGATTTTCCCCCCAATGTGAAACACCGTTCGGAATCGACTAACTAAATGAGAAACTTTTGTTGGTCAAAGCTATTCTTAGCCAAAATCGGACGTTCATAAATTCATATTCAGTCAAGGTCTAGTGAACAAAAATTAAACACATCTTGACATGCAATTCAACAACGTCCTTTGTGTTGTCTCCCCCGCAATGGTATAATCTTTTTATTTGCTATTCGACCATTTTAGCCTCTGTACACCGACAGGGACATTTTTGTCGATCAAACCCTGCACCTGTTCTTTTTCTTTTTCTTTTTCTTTTTTTCTTTTCCCCCTTTCTCTTCAATCTTACATTTTCCCAACTTTTGCTGTGCCCTCCCGGAAAGTCCATAAGGGTAATGATAGTTATGGATGTCTGGTAACCATCATCATCTTCCCAAACAATTGCTTCTCACCGGCAACACCAAAATACCACGTGGTTACTTCTGCAATTCAATCTGACCCTCACTTCCCGTCCCCCGGCTTTTCTTTTCGTTGAAAAAAAAAGGAGTGTCCGTACTTTCAGGGGCAAATTCGACCAAGAAGCGTCCTCTGCCACTCGGCCCATAAACTTCAACTTTTCTGAAGTGACATCTTTTTTTTTTTTTTCAACTCCCCGCTCGATCCCTCTGTCGCAGACAGCAAACATTGCATTGCGATCATGACATTCTTACTTTGGATCCCTGCCTCTTTCGCCCGTTGGATTCGGTTGAAGATATATCAGTATGAGGTGACTTTTGCTGTATATATGCTCACCCCAACCGAAAAGTTCATTTTTAGTATGCCCAGAGAAAAGGCCACTGGAGAACGAAAGAATCACATTAACAGACTAAAACAGACTCCCTCCTTCTTACCCTGATCTCAATGATCATCACCGCTATCTATGTCTACCTCCCCGACCACATCAGATCCATCTACGGCCACCTCTACTATTACTGGGCTGGTGAACGTCCCTTCATATCCTCCGCCTTGCCATCGATCAGCTCGGTATTCCGTGAGACCGGCACCCAAACGCTAGAGGTCATGTATGAGACAGCAAAAAATAATGCTGCTGCTGCCACCGATACAATCCGCGAATTATAAGTTTCTTCTACTGGCAATGGCGGGCGACCCTTTCCTTCTTCCATTCTCCTGTCCCGGCCGCGGCGGATTCTAGCTATTCGGTTTCTGTGTTACTCAAGTGTGATGCCATCGGCGCTATCTCTTGTGTGATGCCCTTATCAACATACCTTTGAATAATTTCTACCTCTGCACCTCTTACGCATATTTGGTCCTTGAGCATGGTTTGAGGCCCCAGCTTAGCAGCACTGCCTGTGATGTCTGGGCGCATCTGTTCCATGTTGGCGTTGTGATGTTGTTCATACGGAGTTTGAGCGATATGTTCCTGAGCAGGCCGGCGCATCCTAGGAGTTCTTGTGTTCATTCTTCGCTCTTTCTGCTTTTTAGCCTTCAGGGTTCTGAACACTCATAGCAGCGAAGCCTTGATTATTACTGTTACGATGAAATACCCTTAACAGCGAAGTCAGCTTTATTCTTTCCCCCCAAGATACCATCGCTATGGAAATTATAACTCTATGCCCCAAGTCGCCCACGTCACAATCGTTTTGTAAGCGCCTATTTGCATGGTATTATTCGACACGCCAGGCCTATAACCATTATTATCAACCATTAAAAGATACTAGGGCATAGCCCTGCACAGCAGTGGAGGTTAATGATGTCTCAACGAAAGAATGTACAGGGGAAATAAAACTCGTAACCAAAACTAGATGCCCATTTTAGAACCGAATTCAACTCCCAACATGCCCAGAGAAGAGTGTTAAACAAGAACAACGTAAAAAGTAGTACACGTGCAACTGCCACATGGTAACTCCGCCAACCTTTTATCAGACTCCCATGCCAATCTAGCCCACGCTAGGCAGCGCTCCCTTTCGTATAGACCCAGCCCCCTCCCCCCATTACTTTTGACCAATGCAGTCCTAGGACGCTCCCGTAAAACCATGTCCATAAACCTCAAATTTTTACTCCGCGTTTTGTGCCTGACTCTCAGCCTGCATTTGAGCTTCAGCCTGGGCCTGGGCCTCTCGTTGGCGCTTCTCTCGCCTAATAGAGTCCACCATGCGCATTCGCGCCAGTTCCTTATCAATCTCTTCCTTATCGAGGGGAATCTTATGCGATTGCTCGGTCGTAGGCCAGAATCCAGGGACACTGAAGCGGTCGTCGAGGTTTGTTCCGAAATAATACATCCATCCAATCGGGAAAAGAACGTACATGCCGAACTGAAACAGTCAGCGTAGACCTCTAGGGATAGCGCATGGTTGAATGGGTCAAAGAAATACCTTGAAAACCTCGAGGTTTCCACCTCGTAATCTCTGGAGAATGTTGGACATTGTGAGGCGTGGTTGTTCAGATGCAGTGGAGGGGTGAGAGGCGAAAAGGTTCTGAGCGAAACCTTGATTTTCACTCCGGAATTCTCGTTGCTCGCGTTTCCCCTTCTTCTAACAGAGTGCCAAAATTTAGGGCGATACCAAGGAAGCTGCGCAAATGATTTGTATAAAGATCAACAATGAACTAACGAATGGCCGAACATACGATATGCATTACAGAGCCTCCGGCTTGCCGATGATCAGCTACGCAAACAAGGCAAACTTACCACGTGCCATTCACCTGATCTAGATCACCTGACCAGCCGATAAGCCTCGGCTGCATGCGTTCGGCCCGTCGGTCTCCCCGCAATTTATGAGCGGCAGTATAGCCGTCAAATTGGCAGGGATGTCAACATCCGGGGAGTCGCTGGTCGATTACCTCCGTGCCGAATTAAATTCCCCCTCATATCCACTACTTATCTGACATAGAATAGATATATAATTAGAAGTGGATAGAGAAGCCATCTCCACCCGACCGTCGACTTATTTATCGAACATTCTCTTGACACATATTCCTAAATCTAGTTCTAACCCACTTTCTACTATTCGATTCGCATATAATCTTTCAGTCAACTATAGACACGATGACAAACGAAGACCTCGTCAAGGTTACTTACCAAGACCGGATTGCAATCATCACATTCAACAGACCGGAGAAGCTCAATGCTCTCAACCAAGACCTATATTACCTACTCGGGGAACGTCTCCGGGAAATTGACCAGCGCGAGGACATCTTCATCACCATCCTTACCGCCAAAGGACGATTCTTCTCAGCGTAGGCACCATGTCATTGATAAAGCAAGCCAGGATCCAATTGATCTAACACCATGCAGCGGAGCAGATGTTACCTCGACCCGCCCATCCGGCGACCTGAGCAGCAATGTCCGCCGCGAGCTCACGCGGTCCTTCGTCGTCAACAACCTCGACATCACAAACACTGTGGCCCACCACTCCAAGATCCTGGTAGCTGCTCTCAACGGCCCTGTAGTCGGTCTTTCCGCTGCACTGATCGCCATGGCCGACTTCATCTACGCCGCACCGCATACCTTCCTGCTCACCCCGTTCTCCTCCCTTGGTCTTGTCGCCGAGGGTGGTTCGTCGCGCGCTCTTGTCGAGCGTCTCGGCATCTCCAAGGCAAATGAGGCTCTCATCATGAGTAAGAAGATTACCTGTGAGGAGCTTGTGGCTACTGGATTCGTGAACAAGGTTATCTCTGCGCCGTCGGGCAGGAAGGATGATTCGGATGGTTTCCTGGAGAAGGTCCTCGAGGAGGTTGAGGATCGCCTTGGAACTCATCTGAGTCAGTCTAGTCTCCTGGGAATTAAGGAGCTAATCCGCAGGCCGGAGCGAGAGATTCTGGACCGTCAGAATTACCTTGAGGTGTTTGCTGGGTTGCAGAGGTTCTTGAAGGGTATACCTCAGGAGGAGTTCAGGCGGTTGGCTTCGGGAGAGAAGAAACATAAGCTGTAGTAGATTCAAATATTTATGGCTGAGACGTTTTGCCGAATCCTGTATATACGACTCAGGGGTTAGAAATATATCTTTTCCAGGTTAAGGACATGCCATGGGTCACCGAATAAGATGGTTAGCTACACTGGAAATAGCTTTACTTGGTTACCAGTAGGCGACACTTGTTTTTTTATATATTTCTGTTGAATAATGATGTGTCCGTCATTTCCCCGTTGCTTTTCCCTTATCCATTAGCTCATAAACGCCGTCTAATCCCTGATTACTCCGTTGCAATAAAGCCGGGAAGCCTGTTATTGTCCACCTTCACTATCCGTATCTGACTCTTGTGCCTGTTTGGCTAGAATATCCTGCCATTTGCCTAAGAATTCACTCATACCACCTGGACCTGAAATTGAAGCATCGACGACCTCTTTTGGCAGTTTGTGAGCCGAGTACTGTGGTGTGGTAAACGCATAAGCTTCCGGATCATCACGCTTCACGAGACGGAATTCGGGGAAGAAAGGGGAGTCCTCGTCCGCCTCATCACCGGCCTCATCCTCTGTATCTGACGATTCAGAACCGTCAGGGGCTCCCACTACATCAGTGACAGTGTTCCCGTTGAGGGACAGTCGGACAAACTGCTCTTCGGTGTCATCCTCTTCCTGGATTCCGATTGGGTCTTTCATGTTCAAGATCTCAAGCCAGCTGAACAACAACGGATCGGTCCTCACAGCCCATGGGTTGATGTCAATGAGCCAAACACGCTGATGCGGAGGAGGAATGTACACATCGAAGACAAAGCTAGGATCGGGGAATGTATCCTTCAGTTTCTCATCGAAGAATGCTTGAATCCGGGATCTGAGGGTCTCGCGCAAAGGGAAGAGGAAGTCGAAGTGATTTTGATCCCGCTGACAAATACAGAGGAGCACGCGATCGCGCACGAAGCACCGAAACTCAAGGGATGGGTTGAAGTTGACGTATTTGCGAAGCACGAGATGGTATGGAACATCAGGAGTGGTCATCGAGTTCGGTGTATCCGGGACACAATCATCGAAGGGAAGCTCCAGGTCATGGCTGATAAAGTCACTGCTCTTCAAGAGAAGGTAGATGTCGTTTGGTGTGCGGCATTGCATATCGTTTGTCGCGGCCATCCAGGTTGCATCTTTGGGAGCGCTCCAATTCAACTTCGGGGTTATGATACCTCCAAGCTCCGAGATTGTCGTCTTGATCTGGCTTTGGATTTCTGCCCATTCGGTTGATGGGTCTGGCTGTTCGTCGGCCTCGTCATCGGAATACGTGTCTAGGTTGTCATCGTCTGTGGGCGTGGTATTTTCGGGAGGCAATACAATACCGTCCGCGCGGAGGTAGGAGATGAACGGCACAGTCAAGGGGATAAGACGCGATTTCGGTGTGAGCGCACGGTAGCTAGGGGAATCTTATGAGTACAGTGTATGGTTCACAAGTAGAAAAACATACCGAGGTTGCCAGTCATGATACGAACAGTGCAAGATGTGAGAATAAGTGACTGGAGGAAAGGGGAGTCGCTGAGGCAGGTCTGTTGAGGCTTCCGCCGAAGGCGGCACCTCAGTGTCAGAGTGAGGCATTATATCTGCAGTTGTTGTGATCTTCAATATGGTCAAAAATGTGTCTAAAAGTGGGGGGCAGAAAAAGATAGGGAAGTCATTCCGAGGGGTTTTATTTGAAAGATGAGTCAAATCACTTGCCTTTTGCAGTATGGTCAATACCAATATGACAATACATTTACAGATCCACACAGCGAATTTCTGGAACAATCTCTTACTGGGTCCATGCTTTTTACGTACCGCCTTTGGTCAGGTACGAGAGGTTAAAGAATGGCCTGCTTTAGGTAGGCGGTGTATATTCAAAGTGGCTGTTCCAGAGATTACATTGCATGCCCTCGTATGCTCCTGCCACGTGCTGCCTCAGGCATATGCCTTAAGCGTCATTACTGCCTGTGTAGCAACACGAAGTTGCAGCATTCCGCTCCGTTAGCCACCCTCGGCTTCCACCTGTTTCGTATTTCATAATGGCGTTAGACGGTCCAGATCCACAGAGCTTGAATACATGGCAGGATGCATTCCAGTATCCAATTCCTACGGTGCGCCGTGTGGAACAGGAGCTCCGCCGGGACATCGCCAGCAATAAGGAGAAGCTCCGAGCTCTCGTTGGGTATGACAGCAAATGCCAATCAGTTCATATTCCAAGACTAATTCATAGCGCGTATTCA